TCAACAACTTTTATTAAATTTGAGTTTACCTTCACATTTGAACCGACAAAACTCGATACTTTAACAGATGTACATGGTCTACACTCTACAACAGAAAGTAATAACACCTTTAGGATCGATCTAAACTTAATTATAGCAGACGTACGTAATGTATCTGATTTTGATGTATGATATAGTGGTAGGACGTATGCATACTTTAGACGATCTCTAGGCTCCAGCCGAAAGTGTTAAAACATAACACTAATTATGTCTGATTTGGGTTAAGTTATAATATTTTTCTATATCTGATATATATATATATATATATATATATATATTATCATTTAATAGAATTTATCTTGCTTATATCAATTAGTTTAAATAAATTAACTAAAATTATATTTTTATATTTGTATTTTTATATCTTACTGTCATTTACAATATTCACCACCTTTGAGCGAAAAGAGGTCAAACACAGGGGTGGAGCCACCTTGGAACCAGAAGGGGCATTGGCTCCCCCTCAAATTTCAGAAACAAAATTTAATATAATCCCAAACCTCAATTAACCACTTGAAACTTTATTTATTCGTATCAAATTATTTTTCTTTCCTTATAATTGTAGAGTTTTCTAAAGGTTCTGAAATAAATACGTTACTTTATTGAATACATAAATTTTTTAACGATAAATTTCATGTATTTTCAAAGGGTTTTTCTTATTTATACAGCTATTTTTTTTAACTATTTTTAGGACAAGTATTTATTAAAAAAACATAAAATACTTAAAAGTGTTTCTCAGCCTTGAAACAGTGAATTTTCTTACAGTTTTTCTAGGCACTCTCTACAAATAAACTCATACATCCTTCTCACATTTGGTGAGGTTTGAACTTCTAACCTCCTTAGAGGCTAAAGACTCGCATACCGCTAGGCCAAAGACCCTTTGATAAGACTTCATACTCTTGTCAGGCTACCTTTTTTGATATCGATCTATTTTAAGTAAATAAACGATATTTTTTGGAAACAATAATGAAAAATATTGAACTTTCAACAAAATACGATAAAAATCATTCAACTTTGGTGGTATGTTAGTTTTTGTGTCAAAAATGTTCGTAATAAATGAATTTAATAACAAGTTTAGAGCCGTGTGATCGAATTAAAAATTAAGTGAAAACATGTTGCATTCTCATTCAGGTGTCTTATTGTTGAATACAAATTAACGGTCTTCAAACTTCATCTTTCACTGTTATGTGCCATCAGTATTCAACTTTGGATTTACTGCAACTTCTTATTTAATACAATTAAAGCGATGATGTATTAGGGATTGATTGGTGAACAAAAAGAGATGGAATTTGGGAATATGTGATCTTATTTCCTTACTGCTATTCGGCTTCAACTGATTCCAGCTAGACATAAATAAATCGAGGATGAATACGTTCCGTGTTGGACACTGGTTCAGTTGGTTCCAAAAGCCACATTGTAAACGTCTTGCTGAAAACACCCTAACAACGTCCTTTCACTAAGACTTGACCCTACCGTTCACTTTTTATTGTTATTATTTAAAATTTTATGATAAATATAGAATCTTATAAAAAAAACCGATATTGAAACCGAATAAACACTCTGTATTATCAATAATCTACATAGTCTACAACATAAATTAATAACACCATCAGGGTCAAGGTTGATTTTAAAACTAACTGAATTAAATATAGCTGATCATACCTTATATCTATCTTACCGTTTCAGATAGTTGTCATCGTTTTATTTAAATTAAGCTATTTAAAATAATATAATTAACTATAATTATGGAAAATACGTATATATTATTAAAATAAATGTAGACAAATTGTAATGAATAATTATAAAATTTTAATTAATTTATGGCTTAATTACTTATTTTTAAATTGTTAATAAATCATTCGATTATTAATAACTATTACAAGTGTACTCGTGCAATGCAGTGATATATATATATATATATATATATATATATCGATTTTGATGTTTCATTTTATTTTGTATTTGTAGATGTTATAATACGGTCTATATGGTTTTGAGAAATACAAAATTGAAGATATAATAAAATTTTAAAAATAAATATATCTATATGTGTATCAAATTAACTATTTAAAAGTTCTTACTTTTTTGTGTAATTTTTTTTGATTTAATTTTTTATTGTAATTTAATTTAAATTTAATAACGAAGTAATTTTTTTTGATTTAATAATATGATTTTTATAAGAATAATAATTAAGTATTATGTTAGAACTCATTAATCATCCTAATTATATTTTAAATTTTTTATATTTAATATTAAATATTTATCATGTATTTGATTATGTTTATTAGCAGTTAGTTACAAGAATTTAAATATGGAGTTTTAATAAGTTGTAATTACGCATGATTTATTTGTAAACGTGAATTTTAAGTAATATGTATAAATAGACAGTACTTCATGCATAAGAATGGTTTTTAAGAATTCTTGTCAAATGTTTTATAAAAAAATCAGATAAAAATTATTTAAAACTATCAAATCTAGAGAGCATTTTAAAACAAGTTTAAAGTCGTGTGATTAAATAATTTTTTTTTAAATGAAAACATGTTATTATTTATTAATCGTAATTTTGGACTTTATTATCGCCAAAAACAAACCACTCCCATTTTCTCTCTATTAAATTACGTTTTTAGTCCATATGGTTTATTGAAATTGCTATTTTCGTCCTTCTATTTCTGAATTTAAGATCTGTATCCTTGTGGTTTACGATTCATTCTCGTTTTCTTTTCTATGATTCACAATTTAGGGGTGCACAAAAATCGACAAAACCGCCAACCCGTCCACCCCTATCCAAAATATAGACCGATTAACACATCACAATAATTTAACCAGTGGTTAATTGGTTTATAAAATATACAAACCAATGAAAGTAAGGTGGTTAGGTGCTTGTAAAATCAAACTAACCAGCGAAACCCGATAAAATTATAATAGTTATACCGAGAGCTTCTAAACACATCGTAAGCTAAACCAGTGCTGACGAATAACCATACCTAAATATTAATCTGAATTACCATGAATCTCAATGACCAAAAACTGCCAATTGACACGGTAAGTACTTATACACAGAAGTTTGCAGAAAGATTTCCTTTTACGAACGTCTTCGATCAGTGCAATGGGATGTGTCTATTTATCTATCTTTTGACTCTTATTGATTATTATTATAAGTCTATTAATATACACGACTACGTAGTCCATTGGACGGAAGTTTATTAATTATTTAACAATCCTAGTGATCCAGTACTTCAATGAGTCTAACTTTTGTTTTTTTAACCATAGACAACTTGAATAAATTCAGGGTTAAGGTTAAGGTAACAACTAAATAAGAAAAATTGAAAACCGTTCTCATTGATCGATAGTTTCATTTTAATTCGATGAAATGTGGAGGGAAGTGGGGTAAATGGCCGAATTTCGCTACAGCACCAGCTGCTCTAGATTGAGACCCGCTTTTGACTTATTCTACCCCATATTGTAGGGTGGATCTCGAAAGATATGACCCATAATCACAACGACCCAACTGCAAGAGCGGAGCTCTACCAACTGAGCTATATCCTCCCGAGCCAAGTGGAAAATGCATGATGAAGTCAGACGCTTCTTCTATTCTTTTCCCTAGCACAGCTGGGCTATATTCGACGTTCTTATCATGATATATATCTTGACACATCCGATAATTAGATATAAACTTAGATGACTGTAATATTTTTTATTTGTTTAAGTATCAACCACTAATATTTTATTTTTTAGCTTGAAGTTGTAATACAGTCATTTTCTTAAACATAAGTACAAAAATGGAAATTTTATCCTTTGGAGTGGTACCCGACCCTACCGGGGCGCGTATTTCCTAGTTTGATGGGTAAGAGGGAGGGAGG